CCCCAAAACCCCAAAACCCCAAAACCCCTGAATTCAATTTTGTGCAATTTTACATAAGAAAATTAAATTAGAGATGAAGATATTTAAACTTTAAAGTGATTATTACATGTCTACTTTTTATTATTGTCAATTTTAATCTTAAGGATCTTAAAAATAAATTTTATATTACTAGATATATGGAATCAAAACTTACACTGAAGATCAAAGATGTTATCATTAGTGAGAAATATACTAACCACAGAAACAAAGATATTTTCCTAATTTGCAAAATTGGGCTAGTTATCAGAGTGGCTTTAACAATCCTTGGTATAATTTATACTTATGCAAATCGAGAAAATTTGGTATATTATTAGTGGCTAGCTATAACTATAACAATTCTATGGTAGACATTACTATTTATCTTAGCTTGGAAATGGCCTATGAAATTTTGTCAAATTCAAAGCTTATTTTTGATTCCTTCATATATTGTGACTTTGATATTTATAGACTGTAATGCTAAATAGGAGCAACTAGTTGGCAATATCTGTGGCTTTTTTGTCTACATCATTCATGGATTTCTTTTGAATTATTGTTGGATTACTACAGCAATAGCTATGATATCAACAGGTCTAGTCACTCTTTTGTACTATGCTTTGATTATTAAATGTTGTGATTACTATTCTAGCGTTTATCTAATGTCTGTTGTTCTAATGATGGCATACTCCTGCTATTTTTATGAAAAAAAGCTCAAGTTAGAATTCATTTAGTTCTATTAGATATAAAAAATGAATGTAGATTTGAAAATGATATTCGATAGTTTGCCCGAAGGCATCATTCTCTTTGATCCAACTAATAATAAAGTTTCTCTTGCAAATTAAGAGTATAGGAGACTATTTAACATTCCAAGTGTTGAAATCAATGAGGAACAAGGTGAGCTTTATGATAAGTGTATAAAGAGTAAAATGCTAAGATTATACAAACCTAAGAATGAAAACTAAATAGAAGAAAGTAGTATGACTTCTTAGTAGGATGAATAGTACCTAACAATTTTAGAAGCAACTTCTGAAAATCGGTACTTATTAGAATAGTGCTATCAAATTTAAGACAATAATAATACAGCAATAAATAACAATTAGATTGGGGATGTAGTAAGCCTTTAAAAATGTCAAATACTGTTCTAGAGCAAATCAAATTGCATGATTATGGTTAAAAACTTAACACCAATTATAAACTATGAAAAAGTAAAGTAAGAGAATCACTTCTATGAAATGTTAACAGCAACCGTTTCTCATGATATGAGGACACCCCTGAATATAATGAGTGGGCTACTTGAAAGTCTAGATGGATTTGTTTTCAATCCTACTGGGTGAAGATTTTTAGAAATTATCAAGAATTCATCGAAGTTTATGTGCTATCTGGTAAATGATCTCCTAGACTTTTTCTAGATAAAAAATGGAAAATTCAAGAAAAATCTATAATGGATTGACTTGAGATAATCCATATAAGATTTAATAGACATCTTTAGTATTGGAGCTAAAGAAAAGGGCATTTAAGTCATCTACAATTGCAGTAGAAACTTCCCTTAATTATTGCATGTAGATGAGTAAAGAATAAAGCAAGTCTTGCTTAACTTGCTTTAAAATTCTTTAAAATTTACATTCCAGGGAAATATTGAGGTATAAGTAAACTACGATCATTAATTGATGTAAACTGAAATAAGTGTGACAGATACAGGTATCGGAATAAAACCTGAGGATCATCATAAGCTATTTAGTTTGTTTGGAAAATTAGATGCTACAGCATCAATTAATACCACTGGTATAGGTCTTGGTTTAAGTATTTGTTAAAAAATTATTTCAATGCTAAATGGAAAAATCTAAATTGATCCAAGCTATACCTCAGGATGTAGAATATCCTTCACCATTTATGCAGATATTTAAGAATAGTCAAGAAATGATGCTATTGCCTCTTCATAAATGATATTCATTACTAGAAGTAATTATAATAGCGCTATTGATTTCTTGCCAGTATAAGCAGATATAATGAGAGAGACTTCATAATTAACTTTAGAAATAAATAAAGAAGGACTTGAAAAATATTCAGATGCTAATGTGAGTGATACATTGAATGTTACTACTCAAAATGATTATAAAGTAAACATTCCAATTTCAGAAGGTATTAATTTAATATTTCCAAATGAAAAAAGTTTCTGTACATGCTAACAATTGAAGGATATTTTAGTAGTAGATGATAATATATTTAACTTGATTACTATCCAGGCTATGCTTGAGTTGGAATTAAAGCAAAAAGTAGATAGAGCTGCAAATGGCTTAGAGGCCTTATAACTTGTTTAATAAAGATTTAACCATCGGCATTCACGAATTTGCTCTTACCAACATACATAAAACTTAAGCTACAAATTGATTTTTATGGACAGTAATATGCCAGTTATGGATGGATTTTAAGCAAGTATGAGTATTAGGGAATTTGAAAGGATAAATAGTATCAACAAAAGTAAAATCGTAGCCTTAACAGCATATTCAACAGAGATGTTTTCAAATAAATGTTTGGATTCCGGAATGGATGATTTTTTAACGAAACCTATTAGTATTTTAACATTGCGGAATATTATTGAGAATCTTGATTATCCATTTCATCATAATCCATGAAATTAAGAAAATATAATAGAAATAATTAAAAATCTTAAAATTATCTAATTTGATTCATTGAACATATTAATTCCTGAATCTCCTTCTATATCTAGCTTATGGGGTTTTGGGGTTTTGGGGTTTTGGGG